ACATCTTTGGTACACATCCGATGTGGGACAAAACTTAATCAAAAAACTAACAGCTTGGTCTGGATTTTTTCCAAATTATCTTGTTCATTCCTGTTGAGAAGTTCTATTAACCAAGAGTCTTGCAAGGGGAAAGAGCATATTTCTTATGCTTGATTTTATGGGCCCTGGTTGGTACACACCTAGGCTTGCAAAGCTACGTTAATGTCTGAACTTGTGATCATTTTATCACCTGACTTGTACTTTTTTTTTCTTTTTTTTTTAATCACCTGACTTGTACTTATGCTTGATTTTATGAATATTTGTTATTTGCCTCAAAAAAAGGATAAGGATTTTAACTTAAAAAGCTCTCCAATTTCATCTAGAATGTTTTAAAAATTTGATCCCCACAAATAACATATATAGTAAAGGTAGATGAATGAAATACCTTTCAATTATGAATGAGTATAAGATAAAGGTATGATAATAACTCATGTAAATTAGAATTCATGACAATTGGATCGCATATCTTTTAAATAATCATGAAATTTTGAATTCATCCAAGAAGTTTGATTTTGAACTATGTTTATGATTATTATATTTTAATTAATAGAATTACACCTTGAGCACTCCTTAAAGCTAAAAATAATATTCATCATTCATGCCTCACGTTAAGCAACTCTAATCTAAAAAAATCTCATGCTTTCTTCAAAAGAAAAAATAAAAAATAAAAATGAAAATAAGAAAAAATAAATAAATAAATAAATCAATTATTATTTCTGTAAAACTAAATTTGAAGTGATCGATTAAGAGAAAAATTGAATTACCGAAAAATCTAGAAATTAACAATACAAATAAAATCCAAATATGAAGAATTACCCACTAAAAAACTTCTACTTGCGATCTTTTTAAGAGCCTTTACAACATCAGCCAAACACCTTAACTCTAATCTATATTCGATTTTTTAGCTGCAGCAGATCTGTCAAGTAATGTGCAATGCAAATGGCGCATGAATCAACCGCTTAAGTCCCCATTCTCACCATGACCACCAAACTTGAAAAAAAAAAAAAACAAACTTGCCGAGACACGAGGATATCACAAACAAGCCGAAAAGCAAGACCTTAACTTCAGGCTACTGACGATTAGCCGAGAACAAGCCACGCAGTTGCTTCACTTGTATGCATGCAACACCTTGCTTTCACTGGGATCCTCAGTTTTTGATCGGTCCTTAAAACCCAGCAGCTTGTTGAGTGCACCAACGTAAGCTCGAACACTAGAGATGACAATATCCATAGCTGCTCCAGTGCCACTAGCCATACAGAAGATGCACATGTTTTACTTAAAAGTATTATATTGTGTAATGTGACATAAAATGCTTTTCACTATGGTAGTAAGGGTTTGTGGGTTCAAACTTTCGTTTCTATGAGCAGCTGCTGATATATCACGGGGTACCTAGTGGCATTTGTGGTGTAAAGATAACTGATTTTCTACTACTTGTTTCTTGTTATTACTGTTGTTACTAATAGTATGTAACCAAGTAAAAATCTTGTGGGTAGTTATGTAATCATCCAGTGAAAGAAACTACATAATAAATTTGGGAATCTACTTTTAAAGAAATTCCGACGTACAAAATGTTACGGAGTAATGAGAATTCCATTTACCTGAATGCACGGTTGATAGTCTTCCCTGTCAAAGCATGTGTTGATGTAACACTATCTTCTCCACGAATTAAAACCCTTGTTGTGGCAATAGCATCAATACCTTCGGTGACTGCATTCATGGAATACTCAAGAAGTGTCACAGGAACCTGCAAGAAAGTAAATCAACTAAATAAAATTGACTTGAGATATAGTAGGAAAAAAGGAAATTAAATGAATTATAAAAAAAACGCAAACTACTAAGATTTCTCTTGGGTTTCATCTCTAGCCTACCCCAATTTGGGACTAAAAGGCTATGTTGTTGTTGTTGTTGTTGTACTAAGATTTTAATGCTTCAATCATGGACCTCTGGACTAAGGAAAAACCTAAAAAACTAAACAAAATAACCCCTACTCAACTTAACAAATAAGGTCGAATCCATTCCCATGCGTAGGTGTGAAAAAGGTTTTATTTTTATTTATTGAAAGAACAGATATTGCTTCTTTGTATTGCACAAAGCATTTCCTTTTGGGGCAGGGGGTTGGCGCTATACAAGAACTTGTCTCAAAATTACTTTGATTAGCCTGAACCAGTGTTAGTAGAGGAAACCAGAGAGAAAAAAAATTGTTAAGCTACAATTAGCAGTCTGCGCAAAAGTTGAAGCCAACTACTAATTCTCAATTGCTCATAAACTACACGTCTGAGTGTGTGTACCCCAATACCATGTCATTCCACCTAAAGATGATAATAGTGATTTGGTTTACAACTTTCTCAGCTTCTCCCTTATCAAATTATCAGGTAAATGATGTACAAGCAACTGGATTTTGCAAGATTCGGACCTTAACAGTAAGATCAACCGCCTTATATGCTGCATCAACTGGCCCTGTTCCAACTGAACAAGAAATATGTTCATTGCCGTCAGCATCCGAGAGTTTGACTGTGGCAGTGGAAAGACCAAGACTTCCACATGTAACCTGCCCATGAAAGACAACAATCACAAATTAGATTGACCCTTCCATTATTTAATTTGTTATACCAAACTACAGAATGATCAATACAAGCTGGAACACATATGCTGTGGACATGCCTGTACATCTTCAAGTTTCCAAACAACTTGTGGCTGGAAAACTTCATCCGAGACCAGTGCAACCAAGTCGTCATCAGTGATAATCTGAATAATGACAGAGTACAAAAATGCGGGCACGATTTTGTTACAAACATGCATATAGTTACACAATATTCTCACTTAAATGGCATATTCTTGTTGAAGTAATCATCATGAGCCTAGCAGGATTGAAAAGATCCTGGACGAAGTAATTTTATAAGAAAAGTAAGAAATAGATTCTTTATATCAACACTGAATGTATCAGGTGATCACTCGCTACATGTCTCAATCCTTTAATTTTTAGGATTTAAAAATTATGGTCAAAGAACACATTATTTCATTCATAATCAAGAGGTTCAGAAGAAAGACAAGAACCCCATGTACCTTTTTACTTCCCGCTACATCTTTGAAACGTGCAAAAAGATCATCAAGTTCCTTTCCATCAATATCATACCCAAGCTGCAACCGCAACCATAATAAATGAAAATTAGAAGAAAAAAAAGATGGAGGTGTGATATATATAGGAGCAATATTATACATCTACTAATTATCTGAAGATGTTATAATGAGCTCAAACGGCAGTTTACCTCCAACATTTTGGCTTTCAAAGCATGGCGCCCACTGTCAGAGTGTCAAAAAGTAAGTTAAGAAAGTTCCAGCATGTACATCAAGACCTTTGCAGAAGCATATCTAATGCCTACTCTGATTTGTTACTAATTTATTTTCTCGAGGCTCTTGTGTTACTTCTATATTCAGGTTTCCAAACAGAGTACGAAAATTATATTAACGGCCTAAGCCAAAAATGAGGAAATTCATACTTGGCAAATTACCAGCACCCCACCGACTAGACTCCAGCTTAACATGGCTATTATAAGTTCTCTTCTTCATATACAACCTACAACTTTCTTCACTATAGATGCAGACGCTGGTAATAAAAAGCAAAGAAAAAAAAAAACAAACTGAAACAGATTGAAGTAAAACCAGAGTGGCAAGGACAAGTATTAGAAAACAAAGCCCAGTGTTGAGCGGAAGAAGTCTATCCTAAGAATTTTCAAATCTCAATATCTCTCTTTCAATCCTCCATGTTTATGAAACCGAGGAATGAATACCGATACTTAAGACAAGCATTGCAATAAAAAATTTAAGATAATGATATCATAACTTAGTTTAAAGTTTGATGTAAAGGGATGAAACACAACTCGGATGTGACTTGATTTTGAAAATAAGTGAGTTGGTATTAGTTAGTTATATTTAAATTTAATTTCAAGGTCTCTACTCTCGTCTCAACTGCACTGTTACTCTAATGGAAACAGTAGATTCTACGATGCTGGAGACAATCTACAGTTGAGTACTTAAATTCGTAAGCCTTCTTAGTTAGGCATACTGAATAGCTGAAAATTGTTCTCTTATCTTAGTTCTTTGCTGTCATATAAGGTGTTGTTCTCCACTGATTTACACATGCTTATGCCTCATATACAATCAGTACAGAGATGGTGGAACTACAGTACCAATGCAAAGTGACCGCTACGCTTTGGAAAGCAGTTGCAAATGCAACCAGTTAAGCAGTTGCACGTTCGACAAAATGCAGCTAAGATCAACTTGAAAAACGTTAATTGAATGCAATATATTCCAACTGTATAAACTGGAAACTGTTTCAATTAACTGCATTTTATTTACAGCAGAAACAGATGCAGCAGAGTTGCTTCAAATTTGAATCAAATGATCATATTATTTATAATGATACACATCAGATTAAGCAACATAAGCAAGTGAAAACTTAAAAGAACAATGATAATATGTTGAAATCATGGAAGTAGACACTAAGGCAATTGTGGTATACCTGAGTTTTCCAAGCACTATACCAGATTCATTGGAGCGAAGAAGTCCAATATCTTCAGGAGATATAATTTCATACGTATTTTTATGTTTGAGCATCCCATCCTGCAAGAAAGAGTTGAAAAGATAAATAATAGAACAATTTTACAGAGGTTTAGATCAGGGCCATCAGGCAAAAGCTTGGCACAACTGAAACAGAAACATAAGGATGAAAAACATACAGCAAGAAACATGAATAAAGTTCATAACAGTGTCAACAATACAAATTTGAAACTATTTTGTAAGTTAGTGTAAATTCCATGATGAAATCAGGCAAGGGTCCAATTGCTGATGAAAAAGTTGATAAAGGGTATATGGATTGGGGAAGATATATTCCAAGGATAGTTGATAAAGGCTAGCAAGGATAGTCAGACAATTATTTTCAGAAACTTCCTTGGCAGCAAACCAGGAGGTTGTAACCCATATTATCGTCCTTGTTATCTCTGTATCATTAGCTGAAAAAAGGTATAGCCCACAGAACAAAGTAATGACAACGTCATCCGCATATTTATCCAATTCAAGTTCACACATTAGCAAAAAAATGAATTCAGCTAGAAACAACTTCTTTGAATAGAGTAATCTTTTTATTAACCTATACAGCTTAGCTCATGCATTCACTATATTTAATTTAGAAATTCTGCAAGATCATAAGCTACAAAAAACATTCATCAAATTTTATCATTTCAGGCTTCTTAACCTCATATTGTACAATCTTCTAGATTCTTGTAGGCTTTACTTTCTCATTTCAAGGTAGATTAAGGAATGTGAGTCCAGTACTTAGGTATAAGTTTTGGAAAAATTTAGTTGTGAACCCAGGTGAAGATGTGGATGTTCAGTAGCATGTTAAAATGCCCCTTACCGCTGTCTACTCTTTCAAACATGAGGTCTGTTCTTATCCTTTTTTTTTTAAACAAAAAAATACCATTTTCTCTTAAATTCATTCCACTAAGCAAGTCAAGTAAAAAACACATGGTCAAACTTGGAACTGTACAATATTACTTTTTTATCAAATTTTAATGAGTATTAAATACAAA